TCTCTGGGATCTGATGAGTTTTAGGGTTAGTTTCGGGTAGGAGAGATTTTATGTAAGTGGTCAAACCCGAAACAAAACCAAACCAAACCCGTAAAAGAAAAGAAAATTTGAAAATCAGCCCGTCAGTCGACTCATAGGTCGACTCATCAGTCGACTCATTGGTCGACTCATAAGTCGACTCATAAGTCGACTGAGTAGACATTTCCCTGATCCGTGCATGTTTTGCTAATCTGTTAAAACCAATGCATAAAAACTTTATATAATTACATTCATACTTCTCTAATAACTTGTTATCAAGTATATCCATGACTTCAAGTCATTTTCCACAATAGATCTATTTATCACTAATAATTCACATATACTTCTAACAAAAATACGGGGTTTTACAACATCATTCAATAGTCAATGCATTTGATGTATAGAAATAACGCCAAGCTCTACGCCACCCATCAATTGTAACATACATGTGCATTAATTCAATTAGCACTTTTGAGACTATTATAAACCCATGGAGATACTTGTGAAAGCTGTTAAAACTTAATTTCAAGATTGATGCATAGGTCATATAAAAGAATTGTTTATATTGAAGATTTTGAAGAGGAGGAGGAGGAGGATTATCAATTTGATTACAAATCTATGATAAGTCTTAGTTTTCATACCGATAAATTGGTAGTATATTTATCCCTCTAACTTCCTTGAGTCTGAATGAACTGATCATGATATTTTGTTAGTGGGTAAGAAATTCCAAGTTTCTTTGATAATAATCTCTTATATCTATATCCTACCGCAAGAGAGAAGTTTTTGTGACACCATTTGTTTTAGTATATATAATAATCTCTTATATCTATATCCTACCGCAAGAGAGAAGTTTTTGTGACACCATTTGTTTTAGTATATATGCGTGAGTTCTTTGAAGCAAGAGAGAAGTTTTTGTGACACCATTTGTTTTAGTATATATGCGTGAGTTCTTTGAAGGGGGTGAATATCATTGGAGGTGCTCAACCTGGTGGAGGCAGAGATTCTAGGGAGAGGAGGGCATAATAGTAAGAGGATGGAAACATTATGGATTTTGAGCTCTTTTGAGAGTGTTACTGTTTGGACATTTTGTGGTGTTAACGTGCATTTGTTGTAGTGAGATAATTCTATTCTGATTGACTCTGTGTATGTATACTCTTCAATGGGTAACAAGTAGTTCTTCTAATTAGTTTCATGTGGACTGGAATACACAATGTTGTTTTACTTAGTGTTATCATAATTGATTGTGTATTATACACTTTTCATATTATAATTTTTAGAGGCTTTTGTTAAAATAATTGTTGGAAGTTAGGTGGGTATATTAAAAAAAAATCAGGGGCTATACCACTAAGAGGGCAAACATTTAGATCTTTGTGAATTGCTCAAAAGTGAAGGGGTCAACTGTTTGATATTTTTAAAGTTCTGAAGGTTTATCTTAAAATGGGCCAAAAGATACGGTGTTATGTGAAATTGCTCTAATTTTGACTCTAAGCCTTATTCCTTATATTTTATTCTAGATAAGGATTTTCTGAATTGCAGGCCTATAAAAGTCATTCTCTATCTAAAAGGGCAAGATTTTAGAATTTAAGTTAAAAATTAGCATAAAACTACAAATTATTTCATTGAATTTCTTAGAATTAATGACAATCATTTTAATCCTAGCTAGTTGCCAACGCTAATAAATATTTAGCAATTAATAAAAGCACTGACATTAAAACTTGCAGAGGTTACAAGAACCGTCAACACAAGGAGACCATTGAAAATCTTTATATAGGTAGAATAGACAACATCATATCTTATTCATTCTCAAAATTTTAAAGATTGATTTGTTAGAAAGTATTCGGTGATTTTGGTTCATAACACTAATGACGCATACAAAAATATCAATTTATTAATCACCGGACTTGAAGATTTGTATGTTAATTCAACTTAACATTGAGTTGAAATTAACATGTTTGATAGCCTCTCTCATGCATAAAATGATTGACCGATTATTTTTTTAACCATATTAAATTCATGTGTAAAAAAAATATTGAAAAGGGAACTTCTTAAGCGTAGATATATCTTTAAATAAGCGTCATGAATATCCATTACACTTGCTATCCCTGTAATTTTTCTTAGCAAACATCAAGTGATTGGTGCTTTTTTGTATTTGAGTTTCTGAAGTTACTCATGATGATCAATTAGATGGATAGTTCACACACACAAAAAGTATCATCCTAAAAAATAAACATAGAAATAAATACACGTGCAACGCATGTGCACTATACTAGTATGTATGTGTGTGTGTATGTGTGTGTGTGTGTGTGTGTGTCTATATATATATATATATATAATTGAAAAAATTCACCATGATCTCAAATCAGAAACCATCAGATCTCGTGACCAAAAATCAAAAAACAAATCTCGTGATCAAAAAACCAGATCTCTCTCTCCCCAAATCTCTCTCTCCTCGCGATTAACCCCTCTCCCCCCTTCAATCCCTCTCCTTCGAGCCCCAAACCATGATCGACCAAATCCCATCCGTGATTAACCCCAACCACGATTCGAAACCCCATCCCCAAATCCTCCGCCACGACAACTCCTTCGACCACGAAACCGCCGTGAAACCGCCGTCCTTCCCCTCTCCCCTCCTCCTTACAGATCTCCCCCCTTCCCATGATTCGAGCCCCAAAGTACTGCAGCACGATCCCGACCTCTGTCCGCCTCCCTCCCTCCGGTGTGAGCCCAAATCCTCCGGCGCGAGCACCGACCTCTCTCCGCCCCCTTTCCTCAATTCTCTTCAGCGATTCCTAAGGTCAGTGGAAGTCCCTGTTTTGGGTTAATACAACTGTTTATATTTGGAATGGGGCTTGCTGTGAGATTTGGAGTTAGCGTTTTCTTTCTGTAAGTTAATTGGAGTATGACTGTAAGTTGATCTCTCGGTATTTTTTCCCTCTCTGTTTTCATTGGAAAATTTGATAATGTTCAGCAATTTGGATTGGAAAAGGTACTTTGGGCACCTGAATTCTGTGCAATTCAAAGAAATAAGTATTGATATGGCTACACGTTTATGCATATAAGGTTTTTAAAGTTAATTAACTAAAAAATTCATATAAGGTATAAGACGGTGCAGATGTAGCTTTCAGGAGGAAAAAAGATAAATCAAAATAAAAATTTACAGAGATATAGAAAGGTATACTATTCTTCATAGACACGTTTATGCATGGCTAGTGTTAATTATAACATTAGCAATACTGTAAGCATATAAGTTTATTAGTGTGCATGCACATTGTGTTTGCATGTATGTAATAATTTGCACCAAATAAGGCTTCAAAATAGCATCTTCATAGTCAATCTAGGGGCAAATACTTATGTAACATGCATAAGGTCCGTCAAGGTGATGGATATCAAGAATGATGTCTGCATAACTTGTAAGTAAAAAAAATGCAAGATTTATGCTTTTAAAAACCTTCTACACCTATTAAAAAAACCTTCTAAAAAATAGCATCTATTTGTATCCTTCTATTTCTGGAGTCAGCATGTGTTTATAGACAACCTAAATGTAATAATATACAATGTGGGATTCAAATAATTGTAAATCACAACAATATCTAGTGTAATTGTTCTTGCAAAGTGCCCTAAGCTTGCTTAAGCTTGCTTTTGTATATGAGTGTGTTTTTATTATTTTGCCAATTATTATTTTTCAATTGCTATGAATATGCAAACTTTTGTATATGTAGCCGTGGATCATGGAGTCATCTTCAAGCAATCGTCATGGACTGTTGTGCCATTGTGGAAGGAGGGCTATACTCTCCAGATCTGGAACTAAGACGAACCCTGGTCGATTGTTTTTGGGATGCGCTAATTGAAAAGTGAGTAATTGTGGATTCTTCAAATGGGTATCTGATAAAGAGGAGTTTGAAGGTTCAAAGGCAGAGCTTGTTCAAACCAAGCAGTCGAGCGTGACGCCGCAAGTTTCAAGAGCCGTGTCAAGTGGAGAAGTGCGGGAAAAGAGAAAGATTGAGATTGATATGTTGGATTTGTTGAAGCTTGTTATATTTGCTCTTTTATTTGGTATTTTTCTAGGATTTGTATTTGGTATTTTTATTGGATTTGTGCTAAGTAGGGTGTAAGAATGTATTATTGGATTTGTTGAAGTGTATGTTCTCCATGTATTGCATAGTTAAGTTTCCAATGAGGAAAAAAACAGACTAATGTATTATTGGATCAAATTTTCATGTAGTCATTTCCACTTGTATGGAGACCTGCAAAAAGTTAACTTATTCTAATGACTTCCTTTCCAAGTATTTACTTTGTTTGAATTTTTTTACTTAGTCTAAAGTAAGTCATGATCCAATTAAATAGTTTGATCTACTTCTAATGCACATGTAGCCCCTAGCTAGAAATCTAGTTCTTTGCCTTACCTCCTTGATACTGTAAAGCAGGAGGATCACTTGTTTAAAGGAGGTTCCTTAGAACTTTTAGCCTTTAATATCAACGCTATGTAATATCCAGGTAAATATAATATCACACATAACCATAGTTACAATAACAAGCGTATGTCTTGTCCTGTGTTGTGAATTTAAGATGATTTCTTATGCAAGTTTGAGGCATGTATAGTAAGCTTTTAGGCTTTGCGTAGAAATAACTGAGGAATCATCTTCCTTTCAACTATTATAAAAGTTCATTTATCTTCACATGTACTAACAGCAAAATGAACCTGAAAGTCTTAACTCTGAAACCAAGATGAGAACATAAATAATATTCATGTACTAACAGAAAAATGAAAACACAAAATGTGAAACCAAAATACATCAGCAGCTATAATACACAATCAGTCTTAACTCTGAAAGTCTTAACACAATTAGTCTTAACACATCAGCAGCTACAAGACATAATCAGTCTTAACACAATCAGCCTTAATACATAAAATGTAGTAATACATCAGCAGCTACAAGACACAATCAGCAGCTACGAGACATTGATGGAGTTGACATAAAATGTAGTAATACATCAGCAGCTACAAGACACAATCAGCAGCTACGAGACATTGATGGAGTTGCTTGAGGGGCCAAGGCAGAGTTGTGGATGAACCTGAGCTGCTTGTGCTTGTTCCTGTGTTAGTGGTAGCGCTGTAAGAGAAACACATGCACAAGCAAATAAATCGTTTGCTAAAAGTTAAAAATAGAGTAAATAAAGCGCTGTTAAAGACTGATACACAAAAATGCAAGCAATCATACGTACATTAATCATGAGATATGACTTTGTGAACAAACCAATACATCCACCACCCGTGCATATGTTTAGCTGCAAATTATATGACAAATTAATCATGAGATATGACTTTGTGCTATCAAGTTTCATAAACATATATAGGGCTAAAACTGAATAGAAACGAAAATGGTACCTTTGCAAGTTAACTTTACAGCTAGTTCTATAATGCCTGAGTTCACCACATCTGCTACATATGCGTTTCTTCCTTTCTTTCTTTTCTTGTGCCTGTTCTAAACCTGACTGGATTCTAGTAGCATTGCGTGGACGACCTTTAGTCCTTGCAGGTCTATCAGGATCACGAACTGTTATATGAGGAATGTTTTCTATTGTATGTGAAATGGGTGCGGAAGGTTGAGGAATATCCATTATTTGATCTTGAGTTTCTCCAACTTCTTCTTCAAGTGATTCCATGAAATTTGTTAGCACATCATCAAGTTGTTGCAGCTTCTCTTCTGAATCAAATGCAAGCTCAAGCACATTATTGAATTTTGCTATTAAAGCCCAAGATTTTAATAAATTAATCTTCCCTTCACAGCTGGTGATGTTTCTTCCAAATACGATGTTGCCAACCCCAATGTTACGATGCCTTGCATGTATGGTCCAACGGTGTAGGATGTAGTGGTCGGGTAATGAATCCATTTGCCTAGCCATCATTAGCGATAATATATGTCTACATACAACACCATTAGTTTCAAACAAAGCACAAGTGCAACAGAACTGCATCTGACTGGATTGTTCATAAGTAACCACCTCCCATTTTCCTCTATCTGTAAACTTACAGACCTTGTATTCAACAATGTCCCCATCTTTTCTCAATTATTCACAGAACTCTGTACCAAATCCTTTGAATTCAGTTTGGAACACATCAAACATATTGCGTGTATACATTTCTCCAGCTTGGACCTTAATTGGATGTCCAAGGAGCATGACCGGCTTTGTGTTCAGACTCTTAAAATCTTCATGGGCTTCACTTAAGTGACGATGAGTTAATGCTTTTTCATATTGTGTCACAAACTCGTGTAATTGAGTCTGTGAGTTAACATACCCATCAAAAAATGCATTAATACTTTCACTCCTTTGGCTCGATCTCATCCCAGCAAAAAAAAGTGTCCTTCAGATAACACGGCACCCAGTGTTCTCTGCATTTGTAAACTGTTTGCAACCATCCCTCCCCTTCTTCATTTATATCAAACTTCTCTTTCATCTCAACCCAATATCCTTCACATTGTTCAATTGAAGAACTATTGCACCACAAGCCCCAATACCTTTGAAACTGTTCACCATAACGAGATACCAAAGTAGGCAAATGATCAATAATATGCTTTTGCATGTGCCAATAGCAATAACGATGTCTTGTCGTTGGAAACACTGAGTGAATAGCATTACACATTGCTCTATCCTGATCTGTTATAATAGCACCTGGTTCAAAGCCATGCATGCATTTCAGCCATTCTTCAAATAACCAAACAAAGGTATCTTCCTGTTCATCGGCTAGTAATGCACAACCAAGTAAAGTGGACTGCCTATGGTGTTTTATACCAGTAAATGGAGCAAATGGAAGACCGAACTTATTAGTTCTGTATGTCACATCAAACACAATAACATCACTGAATTGCAAATAAGATGCTCTTGATCTTTCGTCGGTCCAGAAAACACTCCTCATTTGTCCACTACTGTCTACTTCTATTGCAAAATAAAATTCTGGATCATTCGCTGTCATACTCTGAAAATGTCGAATGATAGATATGCATTCATGACCAATATTGTTGACTCTTTGGGTTCTGATATGATCAATGCACTGTTGTGATGTCACAAATTCACCGTCTCTTCCATTGGTTGCATTGATAACGCGAGAAATAGTGGAAGGAGGCATACCTTCTTCTCGCAGACTATCAATAAGTTTTTTACATCTTTGAGTTTTATGAAATTATTGATGTGCTCTGTGCATTTTTGCTTTGTCTGGACTACTCAACACATGATTTGTATGTTCTTCAACAAACCCCGTGACCTCCCACAATTTGTCCTCCAATAATTTAACTCGCATCATTGCCTTACATCCCACTCAGGTCTCTCGCCGAAGAGGGATCTCTATCTTGCCACTATTTGGTTTATATCCCTCCTTATCATAAACAAACTTTCTGTCTACCACTTCTCTAGTCTTGCGAGAGTAATTCACAGTGCTCTTCCTTATTCCAAAACCCATCAACAATGCATAAGAGTTATAATAGTTATAAGCTTCTTCATGACTATTAAACTTCATTCCTAGTAGTGGTTTAGGAGCATTTACAGTATTGGTCGCAGTTTCACTTCCAATAACACTTGATTCTCCCATTCCAAACTCTACACTATTTGAATTTGTTTCCTCCATTCCAATCTCCTAAAGAAGAAAATAAATTCAAGAAAAACAAACTTAGTATTTTTGTTGTGGTTAGAATTTAATAGCAGTAAGCTTAGCTAACGAAGAAAATTTTATATACATAGATTGATTGACCTCTAACCATAAGGCACCTTAAACATTTTCCCTTCTCCATATTATTTAGGAACAACGAAAAACATTAATAATGACAATAGATATTCGATACTTTTATTCTTTCAACCCACTGTACTCCCTTTTTCAAACAGAAAGATATTAACACCTAATTATCAAAACTTTTTCATATATAATAATGTCCACAAATAGTAATGAGTTAAAGTTTTTATTCTCATTTCCTTTTTTGTTTGTTTTTAGCTGGTTATTAAAACCTCTAATACTGATGATATATTAGAATTATCAAGTGATATAAAATTAGGGTATAATAACAAATATCTACAATGTCCTTATGCTCACCCGGCCATGACTGTAGCTAAGTCTAAATGAATTTCTCTCAAGTCATGAAAACGGCGCTTATCAGTTTTTATTCTCATTTCCTTTTTTTCATACCTATGACTGTTATATAATCAGTTTGGAGGTAAAAAAATGCTAAATTAGTAAAAATTGGCAATCAAAGAACCTGGATAATGTTAATCTACCCTAGTTTAATTTTAATATGAGCACGGTTTAACAAAATGAGATCAAAATCCAAACTTTTTCATACCTATGACTGCTTATATAATCATTTTAGAGGTAAAAAAATGCTAAATTAGCAAAAATGGGCAATCAAAGAATCTGGATGGGGATTTCACCTGAGAACACCTTCAAATGGCGGGGTCGGTGGTCGGTGCTCGAAGTCGGCTGTAGGTAGGCGGAGATCTGAGGTTCCTAGCTCGGCGTCGGCTATGGGTAGGATCAG